GCCTTTGATGAGCCCAGTTCGAATCTCAGGTCCCTTAGTGTCCAGGGCCACAGCCACTGGCCGGTAGAGAATGGGGTCAGAAGCAAAGCTTTCTGTAGCTGTGCGTACATTCTTGATGGTCTCTGCATGGTACTAGGAGGAAAGGGAGAAAAACAAATCACACACGCATTCAAGTCTAGCTTCTGTCCCACTGTCCCAGAGATAGGAAAGGCCAGTGGATGTTCTAGATCTTCATGGTATGTGACACCAAACACTGAGCATTCCCTATGTGCTTATTTCAACCTCCTGTCACTGACATAACTCAAGGACTTTTGAGAATAGTCTCCAAAACCACAGACAGGAAGATACGTCTCTTTTCCACAGACTACATAAAATACGTTAGCAAATACAGCAGACAGCTGGGGTACAAAGTCTAGGGTTGTTCTGTGCTGATAGTATCAGTCTGGCAATCAATGCCAGGTTCTATTAACAGTAATCCCAAAGGTTTTTTTTTTCCTTCTTTCCCTTGATTACAGCTTCAGTTTGATCTCAGTTATTTACTTAAGCTAACAGTGATCCAAGCTAAATAACTCATTTTAATGTTGTGTAAACTTCGTTTTCACAATTGCTTTCTATTGCTAGATTAGTGAGGAAAGTGGTGTGGATGTAGGGGAAGGCGGTAATGAGTTTCTGAGCTAACTATGCTTTGCTTTTCTCTCATATAGATAATTCTAGCTTCAATCTCCTCTCTGATGTCTACTCTCAGAAGATGGGTAGTTTCCTCCAGTAATAACTGATAACCTAAGAAACTCAATGGAGGGTTCTATACATTGGGGTAGACTTGCTGAGTTTCTGAATAAACATAAGTGAACAACTAGAGATGAAAGAGAGATGCCTAAGAACCTGAAGATCACCCAGGAACAGAAGAGACAAGGACCTTCCTCCAGAGTTGACAGAGAAAGAGCCTCCCTAGATCTTCACCCTGATCTCAGACTCCCAAACTGTGAGAAAATACACTTTTATTTGTTAAAGGAACCTATTTGTGGTACTTGCTATTAGTCTATTTATATTTTCTATCACTGAATACTTATCTTTTCTGTTGTATACAGGGTTGCTATGAATCAGAACCAACTTAAGCAGTACACAACACTATCTCTTAACCAGGATTCTCTTTTACAAATATTTTTCCCTTAAAAAAAAAATAAATAAAATACAGCCCTGTTTTAAGTTATACTTTTTTCATTTTTTAAAGTTTTATTCTGATTTATTTACAAAGTTTGAATACATTGTTTTTCACAAAAGATCCTTCCCATTTCCTTCATCCCACCTCCCACTGAATTGTGCAACTCTATGATTAAAACCTTACCCCCCCATCCTTACCCCTCTATTTCCACCCTCCTCCCAACCTTGGATCCTCATATTCATTCTACAATAATGGTTTTATTGTTACATTTTAAATTTTTTTCTCTTTCGCTCTTTCAGGTTATGGGTTTCTCCCTAACTTTTAAAAATAAATATTTATTTTCAGACTCTTGTTTTCAAAGTAGTGCATATGTCTGTAAGTCTTCCTTATTACTTTCTTGGAACTTGTTAATTACTAACAAAATTATTCATAGAACATTATTGGTATAATTCTATTTAATGAGCAAGATTTTTCCCCCTGAGGGTAATATTTTTATTTTTTTAAAATTCATTTTAGTGAACAGAGATTTTGGATTTCCATTCCTTCATTGTTGCACTTTTCTCCCTCCCCCCAGTTTGCTCTTCTCTTTGAAAAGCAAAAGAAAAATTATTTCATTGGTATACAACAATCCCCCCTCCCCAGTATGCTCCACTATGCAACCTTTATTCTGGACTCTTGTCATAATACCCAATCAAGTATTGCTTTTTAAATGGTTCTCTTCCTCATCTGTTTCAATGCAGTATACATAATTTATTCAATCTTTCTCAGTCTCACCCCAATCCTGATGTCAGGATCATTCTATGACAGTGGCACTATGCAGTGTTTGTCCTTTTGTGACTGAGATACTTCACTCAGCATAATGTCCTCCAGGGTCACCCATTTTGAATAATATTGCATGAGTTCCTTGTTTTTCAATGCAGCATAATATGCCATTGTGTGAATAAACCACAGCTTCTCTATCCATTCATTCATTGATGTGGGGTTTATATCTTTTTATAAACAGGCGTTTTGGTATCAAGTATGCAATATCATGTATTACATACATCAATTAGACCACTAGCATTTTTAATTGAAATTTCCTATCTTATTGTTGGGTACACTTCTGTGATGTATCTCAAAGTCTTCTACCACAGCTGCAGGGTGCTCTGGCAGCTTAATGCACAAGGAGTTACATACACTGCTAACCTATGCGCAAGGTGATTTCAATCAGCAGCTGCTCCTGGGGAGAAAGATGGGAAATCTGCCCCCATTGGATTTTGTCTCTAAAAACCCGCTGAAGGGTCTGTCAGGTATGCGTCAGTTCAAATCGCAACAGTGAGCTGCTATGACCACAACTATGGTGTGGTTTTTTTTTGGTTGGCATGTGACCAGGTGGTAAAGAGTCCTGTCAGTCAATGCTATCTTCTTGTAAAAGTTCTAAATTGAGTTTGTTTAAAAGTTGCAATTTCTGGTGCAACCACTATGGAAGGCAATATTGTACATTCTCAAAAAGTTGGAAATAGAAATACTGTTTGATCCATCAATTCCACTACTGGGGAATATACCGTACAGAAATCAGAACATGCCCTCCCCCCCACCCAGCAGACATATGCACACGAATGTTTATTGCAGCTTTGTTCACAATAGCAAAGGGTTAGAAACAAGCCAAGTGCCCATCGATGAATGGATAGAGAAGTGGTGGTATATTCACACAATGCCAATATTATGCAGGAACTCATGAAATATACAAAATGGGTGACCCTGAAGGACATCATGCTGAATGAAATATCTCAGTCACAAAAGGACAAATACTGCATAGTGCACTGTTATAAAACAGGACTGACATGGGGTTGGGGAGAAATGGAAAGAAAAAGAGGGTGGATATATAATGTACACAGCATTGAAACAAACAAGAACTGTATAAAAGGAATATATGATTAGGTATTATTGGCATGACCTAAGTCCAGAATAAGAGCTGCATAGTGAAGTGAACTTTGGGGTTAGGGGAAACCTGTATAACAGTGAAAGGATTTTTTTCCAAAGAGAAAAACAAACTGGCGGGGAGAGGGGACAGGGAGGGAAATGTGCAACAATGAATGAATGGAAATCCAAGTTCCCTAGAAACTTTCCCTTAAATCTGATTTTTAAAAAGTTGCAGTTTCTGGTCAACATGGCATTCTAGAACTTATATGCCCAGCAAGAACACACCTTGTCCACATGAACTTTCCATGTGGGGTGACAGAGACATAGATCCAAAGAGTTGCCATTCTTTTGTCAGAGGGAAAGAGGAAATAATGTCAATATTCTGTTCAAAAGAATGTCTAAACCAGTTAAGAGGTGGGTGAAAATATCCCAAGGCTTTGTCAAAGGTGCAGAAGAGCTCTGACTACTATGAGGTCAATGGAAACAGCTTACTTTACAATTTCAGGCGAGTTTCTAAAAGCCTTAAGCCCAGGGACAATATCATTCTGATCTAAACCCTCAGAATAAACCCACAAGAGACTTCTGGGAGTTGGTGGGGGGCGGTAGGGAAGGCTGAGGGGGATCCAAGTTCTAACTTGAGAAAAGAGCTCAAACACAGATTTTGAAAACCAAAAACCCCTGAGCCAGCAGCAGCTAGTTGGCAGGGTTAGCAGCCATCACTGACCGCTGCCGTTTCAGAAGAGGGTGGTGTTATTTTACCGGATTGAAGGGACCATAAAGCCTACTTAAAGGTCAACTGCTAAAGTCTATTTCTGCGCCTTCCTCTGCCCTCAGGACACTCTAAAATCGTGAACGGGTCTTTACTGCTGTCTTTAGTGCTCTCTCTGGGCAAAGATTGCAAACCTTCCTGGGACTCCTGCTGATGACCCTGTGCCCCTGGCTTTTGGAAAATGTCAAGGGACATGTCTTAACCTGCCCACACTGTCTGTTGAGCACGGTCCCTCTACACTTGGGTCAGGCCTCCATGACATTTGGGGCCAGCTGCCGGCCAGACTATAGGCCATTTATGGAACATGGGTTAGAGCACCCATGATGAAGAGTCTCATGTTTCCAGAAAGGAAGAATTTGCCTCTTGGATTGCATTTCCTGAGACTTTAATTTTAGTCTAATTCTAACATCGGCTTCCAAATGTCAGAGGGCAATTCCATCCCAATGGTCTTCCCAGGTTAGCCTTTTCTTTACTCTGAACTACAAATGCAGAAAAGGGGAAAATCTGTCTTCTTCGTCTACCCAAACCAGTAAAAGATCCTGTGGCCCGAAGGTTGTTAAATGGCACTGCCACCAGGGGAGGCTTCCACCTCAGAATGGGTTGATTCTAAACGTATCAACAGACCAGGATTAAGAGTCATTTCAACTGTTGCCATTTTGGACTCTAGAATAAAGGCTTCAGTGCCAGCATCGCTATAGATTGCTGGGGAAGAATGCTGACCAGTTTCATTTTCATGTACCAAAAACCATGGTAGGAGATAGGCTAGGAATTTATATATTAGAATCTAGATAAAGAAGTTTTTGCCAGGAAGTTGAAACAGCCTCACAAATGACTGTCTAGCAGGTTTTCAGAGGTTACTCAATTGTATGGGAGGACACTATACATCTTTCTCCCTTGGAATTGCTAGTGGATTCAAACCACTAAGAGAAGTGCCACCTTTGGGTGAACAGCCCAATTATATGATAATAGATATTACAAAATAATATAGTAATTATATAATAATAGACCACACCACCGGAGAGACCTAGGTAAATGTTGTGTATGAGTGAGTCATGACTGATCCACAGCTGACCCTCCCAGCAGGTTTTCAGAGGCAGTACCACATAGGAGATTCCCTATCTTTCTCCCAAGGAGAAACTGGTAGGTTTGATCTGCGTGCCTTCAGGTAGTCAGTGCACCTCCTAACCACCAGAGCTCACTCCCTATGCAAACAATTAATATAAAATTGGGATTTATATAAGACATGAAAAGCTCAACCTCAACCAAAATGTCAGACTGAACTCACCAGTGGCTCCTTTGGGACAAGAAGTGGAGATGTGCCATGAAGATTTCTAACAAACCATACAAAGTTTTTCTCTATCACACATCTGAGCATCTACCTGACAATACCTAACAATAATAAATACACCAGAAAGTTTGTGTACATTTGATGTAATTTATATAGACCTTAGTGCTAGTCCTTATCTTGAGCCTGGTCTAAGTATCTTGGGTCTAAAGTGGGTCAAGATGTCCCCTGTGTTCAACACTCAGATCCAGGTTGCTATGGTAACATTATGGCTAAGTGAATAATGCCCCTTCCCCCATTTCTCTAAGAGCTATCCCACTGGCCAAACGGCTCAGCTGGGCTCACCTCATGACTTCCGTGAGAGAAGTTCATACGAGCCACATTCATTCCAGACTTAATCATTTCCTTCAACATTTCCACTGACCGGGAAGCTGGGCCTATTAAAATGAAAGGAGGGAAAAAAAGTTTTAAAGGTGCCAAGTAGTCACTGTTCAGTGTGAGACTATGCCTAGTTTATTTAAACACTCCTCCCTTGTCTTCCCTGAGATAGTATAAAGGTTTTTCAAAAGCACACAGATGGTTTTTATAGGGTTATAAAATAATCCTACTTTCCCTTGAAAGCTCTGGTTCCCTTCAAATCAGGAAGGTGTTTAGGTAAGGCTTTTCTTTGTTCACCTGAAGCCCAGATACTTTAGATTGTCTCCATCTGAGACCACAGAATATACAAATTCTTTATCACAACTTCCTATTACCTGAGCTCCCATAAGAATCTGTGAGCACCTCAGCCAGACTAAGGTTTGCTACACTTGTTTAGCATTTCCAGGAAAAGAACAGCCATATGACGCACTTGTATAATGGAAGAGGGGAAACCGACTCACCAATGGTACAGATGATGCCAGTGTTCCGGGCTGTAATGGGTGCAGAGTCGATATCCAGGCGGCACATGTGCTCCAGGAACGTGTCAGCCATGGCTGCGTGCAGCTGCTGGGTCTGAATGAAGGCAGAGCCCACTTCACTGTGTTGCTTCGACATGGCTTCTGTGGTTCTAGGTGCAGGAGAATGAAAATGATCAGTCTGATAAGTCCAGGGGTTTATATACTGTTGGGCCATAAGAATCTGTCTCCTGATTACACATTAACTTGATAAGCTCACTTAGTGCATGAACCAGAAGGAACCGGTCACGCTCTGATTATGTGGATGTTACTTGCACAGGGCAAAAGGTTCACATGCCCATGTGGGAATGAAAAGGACCTTAAAGAATAAGTGCCAACTCTCATCCAATGCATGTCTTCATAGATAGGTACCTGCTGTAGAAAGGCATCTCTAACCCTAGACAGTCATCTCCCTTGTCTGCTGTAGACAACATTTACATATACTAAAGAGACCTTCTGAAAATGAAGCTATAACCAATCTTCCAGTATCATCAACAATTAACCCCTAGTTAAACACAATGGTAAGTCTAAATCTTTGTATAATGGCTCATCATCGCTCTTGAAACCAAAACTGGGTACCATTGGAGTCCCTGGAATTTCATGCTTTGGCCCAAATGAGGCTGATCTCAGCAGATTAACAGGTATCAAAAACCAGTCCCTCAACAGGAAACAAAGTCTATCCAGAACCCCGAAGCCACGTCTTTCAGCGTAAGATGTATACTGAAAACACCTGGTTTGGGTCAGGCAGAACAGCAAATAAATTTGCACATAACCAAAGAAAAGGGTGGCACTTGGTCTGGCCTTAAAAATACACTATCAGGATAGTTTCAAGGTGACGAAATTAAAGCTACTTTTCATACACATTCCCTAAATGGCTTTCTGATGCACCATCCCAGTTCCTTTTGTAAGTTGGACAAGTTACAATCCCAGGAGCAAAGAGTGCTAGTTCCAGATAATTAACCAGCACAGGTCACAATCTTTTGACACCTGACCTGACCTTTGCTTTACTTTATTACTGACTTAAAAGTAAACTCATTCTGCCAGTTACAGTTAGTTAGCAGAGTTGCTATTTTAAAAAGCATCAAGTAAAAATGAACTGGAAAATGCTTGACTGCCTCTTATTCTAGGAGGCTGTCCCTTTCCTCAAGTCCTCACACAACTGCTATTTCTTCTATGATCCCCTCAGCCTATGCGCTTCAGCAGAGGCTCTGGAGCAAGCTCCCTTGATCTGAGCCTCACCTCCTCCTCAATGTCATAACCTCCAGTGAAGGAATCCATTGTAGAGATCACTTATTCTCCTCTATCCCTGACTTTGCGGCCTGCAGAGCTGGAGGGAAGCTTGAGGAAAACTTGAGTCATGAATTCCATAATGCAGCCACCGCACAAGGGTCTGCCAGAAGCCCCAGGGGCTCGATACCAGTGATGAGCACCCAACCTGTTGGCTGCTGAAAATCAAAGGCTAAAAGTCCTCAACTACAGAATCTAAAACTGCAACAATGAGGAAAGACGACACTGGTTCACTATTCTGTATGACAAATTCACGAATGGACATCGAGGGTCATTTCCTAAGGTGAGCCTGCCACTACAATGAGTAGGTCAGTCCTCTCCTCCATGGCCTACTTGGTTTTATATCTCCTTGTATGAAGTACTTGAAGACATTCTAGTGTTTACTGAGTGGCCTTTCAGTCTAACTTAATGCCTCTTTGTCAAAATCGAAAGCTTTACCTCCACTTGCCGTTCCTTAGTCTAAAGAGCTTCTTAACTACTGACCCAGCCAGCATCCATTAAAGACATGGTGGAACAGGACAGCATGGCTTCTGAGTGAGACTGACTGTGGAAGGAGCATTACCAAACGGGTGGTACCAGGAGGCCCACAAAGGCCTTCCTTTGGGCAATGAAGGGAAATCATTATCCAGTCCCAGGACTGTATTGTGAAAAAGTAAGGTCTAAACAAATGGGTTGGAGACAAATTCCACCTCGCTCTCTCAGACCTGAGACAGTAGGGTCTCCCTGCAACGATTCCACCGGGGCCCCTGATGAGCAGGCCGTACCTTTTGTTCTCTGGTCTTGTGCCTTCGGTGACATAATGCTCTTTTTTAGGCTCAGGGTGGCTCTTTGGCCCCACCTGCAAAGACCGCTCGGTGCTGAGATAGGTTTGCCCTGAAGAGCTGCACAGGATTAAGGTAAAAGCTGAGTATAAACGAAAGCTCTTTGGAGTAACAGAGAAATTACTGTAACCAGGTATCCAGGTGCCTTTGACTCCAATTAACAGGGACTCTGCAGGACAGTAGAGCTGGCCCCATTTCCTAGGCTGTAGCCAACCTCGCAAGTACTGCTTCCCTCCCAAGGGTCCTTTAAACTCATGACATATTAATGACTTATTCTTTTTAAGAACTGAGTCCTCTACTACCCTTTTTTTGGGGAGAGGAGGCAAACATAAAGAGACTGAAAAGAATACATACCAAAATATTAACAGCATGGTATCTGGGTGATAGGATTACAGTAAATTTTGCCCTCTCTAATTAAATTTATTGACATGAGTTTTTTTTTAAAAAGGAAAAAAACCCTCACTCCAGGTCTGCCATTGAGTCAGAACTGACTCAGGGCTGACCCTCCAGCAAGTTTTCAGAGACTGTACATCATATGGGAAGATTGCCCATTTTTCTTCTCAAAGAGCAGCTGGTGGATGTGAACCATGTGACTCTGGGATGGCAGCACTATTCTTTACCCATTAGGCCATCAGAGAGAGGCCCCTTATGAAAGTGGTGTTTTTCACAAGCATCCTATAGGCTTGTTGAGAGGAATTAAATGAAATCTGAAAGCTTTCAGCTCTCTATTGTAAGTCCACTCACTGCTCTATGTAGCTCCAGAACAATCTGCTTCAATGTGACAGAGATAGATTTTGCATCCCAGGCCATAAATTACAAATGCATCACACAACAGTCTCACTGGTGGGAGGATCACACCTGGATACATTCAAAACCTCAAAGAGGGGGGAAGCAACAACAAAAACCCCCAACACCATGAAACTTTACTATGGTCCACAGGCCAATCCTATGTATAATTCGTTGTTACTCGGCCAAATCCAGCAAACCTCTTTGTCTAGTCTGTCCTCATGCTTTTACAATAACATCTTTGTGACAAAGGAATTTTGGTACAGGTCTGCCCTCAGGCCTCAGGAGATGCCATCAGCTGATCTAGTTCTACATCGCCTCAAACCAACCCTATTTCACCATCGTGAATTAAATCTGAAGCCTATAAGCTCTAACCTCTTACTCATCGTATTAAACACACAAGTGACAAATGAAAATTTTGTCTGATATTTTAGTGGATTTACAAAAATAAATAAATAAATAAATATTTTTTTTTCTTCAAAAAAGCTTGCCTGTCTGTCCAGATTCCTAGGAGATGCCTCATATCTCAGCCTGCCCCCACCAGACCAGAGGCCTGGTGCTTCATTCTCAGGTATTTACTCTTCCCTCAGGTTCTCTGGAACCTCCTAGTAACTAACAAGAGTTGTCTCTGCTGCCCTGCCCCTAGCATGAGCCTCACCTACTGCTGGGGGCCGAGCCGCTTGTTCTACCTAGCTGAAGCCATTTTGTAATTCTCTAAGAATATGTTTGGACATGTTGCCCCTCCCTGGGAGGATAGGTTTCAGTTTACTGGGACCACCCTGCTAAATTTCTGTTCACCAAATAACTTTCAGCTTACTGGAAACATGTTAGTCTCCCCCATTGCGTACTTCTCCCCCCATATATAATCTGTGAATGCTTTCAATAAAATGAAGACTTGATCGGAGATTTCGACTTGTCTTTCTGCTTTTGTGCCTCCTGTCCCCCCCATTCTCTTTCTTCCCCTCCTGGGGACATTCAACGGTGATCCTAGGAGGGGAAGAGAATGGGGGGCGCAGGAGGCAAAGAGACATGGAGACAAGTCGAAATTTCCGATCCAGTCTCGACTTTATTGAAAGCATACAGAGATATATATAGGAGCATGAATGAGGGGAATGGAAAGGAGAAGTAAGGTTACTTAGCCCGGCGTTCCCAGTAAACGGAAACCTGTCCTCACAGGGTCCTTAGAGAATTACAAAATGGCTTCAGCTAGGTAGAACAAAACGGCTTCCAGCAACCTACAGCAGGAAGTTAGTTCCTGGGTCCACCAACCACTACCTAGAGCTGAGCAGGAAACACCATCTGGTCTGTCACCCAGACCCAGGAGGGCAGCTCAGCATCGAAGCAGGCTCCCTTCCCTCCCCCTTGTCATCTGGACAGTACCTGCCAGGACATGCAGCCCAGCCCTCGCCAGCCTGACTCACTAGTGCATCCTCCTCCTTGGGAGGCACAGACATGCAGAGCCAACCTCCAGGCAGCAGCAGGGGCCCCGCGTATCCACAGAGAGCGCCAAACGCCATGCCCAGGTACAGGGGTCTCATTCTTGAGCCTGAGGCCCTGCAGCAAGATCCTCCTCAGAGCCATTTCTCCACTGTGAGAAATGAGATACCAGCCTTAGGCCAGGCTGACAGGTGTAAACAGTCAGGTGAAGTTTCCTCATCTCAGGGGGCTCCTCTTTAGAGCTTCATTTCTGCCATAAACAATTGTTTGGTCACTTTTCAGATAACAAGGGGGCAGAAGGGTGGAAACAAAAAGCAAATCCAAAGACCCAATATTCCATTTGTAGACTGTTGTCGGGTTATGCTGGGAAAGATTTATGCTTCACTCCACCAATTTTATCTTTCATAAAGCCCCAAATCATTCTGCCCCAATAATCCCCCCCTGCATCTCGACAAGCCCATTTTAGCCAATCAGGTTCCCTGGACCAAATCGCCAACCTCGCCACAGGGCTCAAGCCAACTGGATAGCACCTGAGGTCCATTTTCTCCCTCCAACACTGCATGCAGGGAAGCACCCAAGGGCATCTTCCTTCTGTTACAAGGTGCCATTTGTTGCCTACATCTGTAAAGAGCCCTGGTGGCACAGTGGTGATGTGTGCAGTGCTAATTTAACATTCAAAACTACCAGGAGCTTCCTGGGAGGAAGAGGTGACAGTCGACTTCCATAAAAGCCTGTAGCACAGTTCTATTCTAGCCTAAAGAGGAGCTTAAATTAGCTCTGGTGGCCTAGTGGCAAGAAGCTGCACTGCAATCCCAAAGGCACACAGTTCGAATCCACCAGATCGCCACTAGAGGAGGAACAATCTTCTATGCCAGTCAGATTTGATTTGATGGTACACAACAACAACAAACAAAAAAAAGAGTTCGGATAGACTCTACTTAAGAGGCTGGGTACCTACATCTCCAAGTCAGCACGGAAGCGTCCTACGTGTTCTATAGGAGCTAGTAATCCTCACAAGGCAGGGAGAGAATTTCAAAAAAAGAGCCAAATACATAGCAGCAGCAAGATAAAAATGAGTGATACATCCTCCTAGACAGGTGGTTTTACCCAACGTGGTCAGACAAGAGAATTTTCTTTCAGCCCAAAGGGGGGAAACATGCATGAAGTTGTCATTGGGCCACTGAGTCAATTCCCACTTGACAAGCTCATGGAACAGAGTAGAACTTCCTCAAGTCTATCATTGGAGTTAATGGGTAGGTCTGAACACACAGCATTCAAATGCTTTCCCTCTGTTAGGGTGCTTTATTATGTTAAAAAAAATAGGGTGGTGTTCCTAGGCATGATGTCACTCTGGAAGTGGAGAGGGTCTTGGAACTCCTACTAAGTGAGGTACCAGGGGCGAGGGTCTCAGCAGAGTGAGGCATGACTCAGCATTCATAGGCAGCAGCCTGCAGGAACATGCACATGTGTTTAAACAGCAGCGCCAAGAGCATCAACCTAATTAGTACGACTGGTCATCTTTGGCTGGTCTTCTTCATTGACCTTCTCAGATTCAAGTTTATTTTTATTTTAAACAAAGACAAAACCACTTTTATCTCTACCACCCAGAATGGACTGTTAATATTTAAATGTACAGTCATAAAACAAAACAAAACAAAAAAAAAAAAGGGGGGGGGCGCGCCCTCTGGTGGCATAGTGGCAAGAAGTAGAACTGCAAATCCCAGAGGTGCAGGGTTTGAATCTACCAGATGCCCTGCTGGAGGAGGGACAATCTCCTCCTGTACCAGTCAGATCAGATTTGATGGTACACACACACAAAAAATTTAAAAATAAGTAAATATATTAAAGTAAGTTTATATGGATAAAGGAAAATCACATGGGGCATAAAATCTAACCCAAAAGCATGTACTATATATGTAGTTTCCCTGATAACCAAAAGAATCCACCCTATTTTTTATTAAGAATATGGACTTTTGCAATCTTGTTAATGTAATTTTTCTTTTCACCCTTCTTGAGAAATTCTCTTCAGAGACTAAACTTATCGCTTGTTTTCCAACCCACAGATACTTCCCCAAGGACTTAGGAGCCATATCTTTAAAATGCCACCACTACAGAGGCCAATCCCACCTCTCAAGTTTCTGAGGAAGGGACAAAGCTTCCCTATCATGGATTCTAATCTTAATCAATTACAACTCCTAGTACCTGCCTTCTGTGCATGGGTAAGCTTCTTTATAACTTTACCTAGAAATGTAATTCCTGAGGCCTTGGACAAGTTTCTTATTCACTAAAATGTTGCCAAATTGCTATCCAAGTTATTTATTGGTGTCAGTTCCTGCTTCCCTACTCTTTTACCAACACTTGATACTATTAGACTTTAAAAACATTTACCAGTCTGATAACTAAGATTTATTTTTTTTGTAGCTGATATGTCTCCTCTCTGATGTTAATTACAAAAGCAGAATACCTGGGTGTTTTGTTCAGTAAGTGTACTACTTTCCTGCCCCTTACCTTAATCATATTTCCAGGTTCATCCAAAATGGGCAGAGCTGGCACACTTTGTCCTATGTGCTGTGGCTGTGACTTAGTGAGACATTAGTTTTTTAAAGTGGAAGAAAAATCATCTATACATTGATTAAGGGTATTCAGAGATGTTTTCTTTTAAACAGTAGACTTTAACCAGCAGCTTGGCTGATCCACTCCCTTGAATACTATGACTAGCAGTCTCCCTGCCCTATTCCAGTTGGTTTTGGCATCTCTATCACTATAGTCTCAGCATGACTTTCAAACACAGCTTGCTGGCGTCAGAAAA